GGCTAGGCACGGCCCAGGCACGCGACATGAAATTTTAATGAGGTTTGAGGCATTTTAGGGCCAATTGGCCCACCTATGCCGTCTGGTCAACCAATCATTTTCTTATAATTATTCATATTAATTCAATAAAATCACATATTTTTGGGGCATATGATATATTACTTTTTTTTTGTCATCAAATTTGAAATTAAAAAAAAATCCTAAAAATATTGCTAATCATAAGTGAAACTCAAGTGCATTAAGAAAATTAGGTTAAGATTGAGTTTAGACATAACAGAATTTTCTATAAGCACTTAGGTTTTGTAATTTACTTATCCTAGAATACTGCACTCTTTTTTTCTTCGCTAAGGTTTTGTCCCGATTTCCCCGCGAGGTTTACTTGACAAGGTTTTTAACGAGTTGATCATTTATGTCTACTTATTTGTATTATCTCAATTTAATAAAATTACATCTTTTGGGGACATATGATATATTTTCTTTTTTTAATTAAATATTAAAAAAAAAATTAAAAGGGCCTGGGCCGGCCCGTGAAGGGCTTGGGCCCAGGCCCGGCCCTGGCCCTTATGGACTAGGGCCAAGGGCCAGTGCTGGGCCTGAGGGTTTCTCCTCAGGCCCGGCCTTGGCACGGCCCAGGCCCGCCATGGGCCTAGGGTTAGAAGGGCCGTGCCGGTCCGGCACAGCCCTTTTGACATCTCTAGGTGATGTCATTCGCTTGCTTTTTTAACTCTTCTCCTTTTTTTTCTTATTATTCGTGTCTTCCTTCCTTGATTGCTTCTTAGCGGGTATGATGCGGTCTGTATGACGTTGTCTTCGGATCATAGGCACGTAATTCCATATGTTAAAACTCTTTGCTTACAATTCATAGGGACCTTGCGTCCGGATCGTCGGGCTTGTTTCTAAGCTGAAATTTTGCTCATTGAGACACCGTTTTGATAGCCTTCTATATTTTGTTTGTTGCAGCATATTGATTAAATGGGCAAGGATTTGACTGATTTCTTCACCCGATCTCAATAAGTGACCAAATTATTATACCGGTGGTGAACCACTCTCTTACTCAGACCATTTTGTGGATATTGGGCCTATTTAGAATGCTTTTGTGACCACTGCAGATTCCGTTGGTGAGTCTTCTTTTCTCTTCTTTTATTTTATTATTTGTTATTTTCACACAAAGTTTGATGATTTCTTTTTTTCGATTGAACCATTAAAAAAAAAAAGGTTCAATTTACATGCTACTGTACAGCATGTTAATGTGCAACATGTCACCCCTCCTGTTTTCCTTTTACAGACAAAAACAAAAGTCCAACAAGGCATTGATTTGCCTTTGGACCGCATATAACAAAGGCCCAAATGTGGTTCTATATTCACGTAGAGGAACAATTACATGACTTCACAGATTCTGCACGTGTTTAACAAGCGATGTACTTTTCATAAGTAAATATTTACATATATATATATATATATATATATTTTATCTCAGCCAAGCATCCGGCTCTCTTGTCTTTTTTTTTTTCTAATTTTTTTGACGGTGAAAACACAAAATTTTACTTTTGACAAAATACCAAATCTCACAAAAATGTCCAAGACATAAAATTCTTGGCTTGCATAATCACTTTCGACTTCTATAGGCTTGCAAAACAAACGTTACAAACCCAAGTCTCAATGACAACCAAAGGATTATTATTATTATTTTTTTTACACATGTATAGGATTATTAAATCCTTAGTTTGTATAATCACTTTCGACTTCTATAGGCTTGTAGAAACAAACGTTATAAACACAAGTCTTAATGACAACCAAAGGATTACATATGTATATATGTATTTTTTTTTTCTTGCAATTAACAAGCTCCACATGTTGGATCTTTAAATCTTAGTTCCACATTTTAAGAATCATCACACCAAATTATCAAGAAAATAAATTAGAATAAATACTTGTCTCCATTGGTGCAGCCTTGAATTTCCAGTAGAATTCTCTAAGACAACGAGCACGACGGTTATTGCCTTCCTCAGTCAAATCTCCTTAGTTCCTTAATGAGGTGTTTTCTCTCTAGATGGAGAAGAATGAAAATTGTCGTATGATTTGACGTATTGGGAACCATAACCTAAGTTTCTTTATATACTGTCCCATTAGGCTCCCATTAAACCTAGTTAGGTCAATATGGGTATCCACTCATTCAGCTCATACCCTATTAGGTGACTATTTGGGCTTTTCATAATTAGATCACTTAATTAGCCAAATTAATTAAATAGTTTAATATAATTATTGAATAAATATGTGGCCCACAATATAGAAAACTCACGTTTCCTAACAATCTCTCACTTGGGCTATATATGATTCCCGAAATAATTATATCGTACATAATTCCTTAGGCACGCAACTGTATGCTATTTATCCTTAGTCTCCACTTAAGATACAATATGGTCCATCTCCTATATCAGCACGAGATCATGGCTTTTGTCACCCTAAAAAATGCAACTAAACCTTCCATGGTCACCATACCAACATATTCAATGACATAGATCGAGTATGGATGAGTGACATGAAAATACATGCAATGTGATCTCTAACATGCCTATTTCCAACTGGTCTTGCTTTATTCTTTATGAGATCAATCCGTAATTTTCAAAACATAATGCAAGATTGCAAACAGAAAATTAACACATTCAGAGGGAAAATTATAAAACTGTAAATCCATCTTCTTTCTTATGCAGAAAATAAACAAATAAATGTTTATGTCATAGAACATCCAAAATTAAAATCAACTCCCACTAAACCATAGTATCCTTAAATAAAATAACACCCATATGAGCAGTGTGCTCGTGAAAGGCCTTGGGTGTTAAGCCCTTGGTTAGCGGATCCGTAAGCATAGAGTTTGTCCCAATGTGTTCTATCCAAATCTAACCACTCTGAACTCTTTCTTTAACAACAAGAAACTTGATGTCTATATGTTTCGATTTCGTCGAGCTTCTGTTGTTATTAGAATATAGCACTGTCGATTTATTGTCACAAAAAATCTTTAGTGGCCTCTCAATACCATTAACCACACGCAGCCCCATGACAAAGTTTCACAGCCATATCCCATGATTAGATGCCTCATAACAGGCAATGAACTCTGCAGCCATGGTAGAAGAAGCTATGAGTGTCTGCTTGACACTCTATGAAGAAATAGCTCATCCTGTCAACATGTAAACATAGCCTGACGTGGATCGCTTACTGTCTTGGCATCCAGCAAAATCAGAATCAGAATACCCGATGATCTCTAGTCTGTCTGATCTCCGATAAGTGAACATGTAATCTTTTGTTCTCTTCAAATAGCGCATAACCCGTTTGGCTGCTTTCCAATGATCCATTCCTGGGTTACTTAAGTATATGCCCAATACTCTCACTATAAATGCTATGTCGGGATGAGTGCAAACTTGAGCGTACATTAGACTTCCTATTGCTGATGCATAAAGAATCTCTTCCAT